AAGGCCACACGCTCAGCATGGGAAAGTTCAGTGCTAGAATTATTATACATTTCTTGCATACCCGAATAGGAATCAGTAAGTTTCTTATCGAATTTTGGGGTAGTAGCGGTAACCAGAATGCCTGGAAAAATGGTATTACCCAAAGGCAGAAGGTTTACTAGGGCTCCAACGTCTCTCAGGGTAATAGACATTAGGCCAAGGGGGAAGATAAAAGTATTGTACTCAGAAGACCAAAAACTTAAAGCGATGGGGAAAAGCACCGGGTCATAAATTGGGTGACGAAGAGCGATTTTTAATAAATCTGAAATCCACTCACGATCAAAAATCGCCCTAATAGGGCCATGATTTACCATACGTGCATAAAACATACGAAAAGTAGTGTCGGTTTTAGGCCAGGTGCGAATACCTTTCTCGCGAATCGGCTTCAGCGGTAGAGAGTTCAGAAAAGGAATAGTTGACCCACCGCCGTTTGCCCAATAGATTCCGCATCATTAAACGATGGACCCAGATAAAATTCATGGAGGTCGGAGTTGGCTGGTGAAAGAAAAGCTGAATTTGTATACGGCTTGGTAAGGAGACTTTGGAAATCCTTGGAACTAAGGGAGTTGTCGGAAGGAGTTTGTGAAGTTGCCATTTGATACAAAATACAGTCTTTGTGAGAATTGCTTAAGAAACGTAGCAGAGAAGAAAGAAGATGAATAGTGCAGTGAACAGTCAGAGAGAAGCGCGCAATGTAAAGACGTGGGTATAATGACGCGATGAAGTGGTGTGCCCTTTGGTTTATAGGGGTTATGCTTGTTACACTTTTCAGAACGTAGAGAGTTACCGCCAAACGGAAATAATAGTTGGAATTCTCCGCCCTTTTGGGATTTCAAAGTATTGCCAGAAAATATAAAGAAAGAATATGGCTATAAGATTAATACTTGATATTAATTTTGCCATATTTGGGGTAATTGTTGACACACTAAAATNTACTTGATATTAATTTTGCCATATTTGGGGTAATTGTTGACACACAAAAATGAGGTCCAATTAAGTGGTCCAAGAGATGGAGCCCAGTTAGGGAATTTGAGGTACAAACCCAAATGAGACCATTGTAAAATATAGTGGAGGCCCATAAGCGGAGGACTATTATCGCCCAAGCCTGCAGGACGCCCAAGGTTTGAGTGAATGAAGTACCTTATTATCGCTCAGAGCAACGGTCCCATTCTCCCCCCAAGCCTTCGAGACACCCAAGATCTGAGCGAATACAGCGTCTTGTTGTTATTTAAAGCAACGATTACTGAAGCAATTATTGAGAAATCTTATCACGTCTCACGATCCAAGAATCTCGGTTGCAAGCAGTTAAAAGATGAGAGTAATAGCATGAAGTTTAAAAACGGCGGTTCCTTGACACGTCAGTCATT